GGATTTCCTCTGTTGGTCAAAATGCAACCATGTTAGAAAACTGATTAATAAACTGAGACTGATAAGTATTGATCAGAATGTAAATGGCTGAATTTATGAGAGAGTAACAGCATTTTAGAAGTAGCAAGAACTGCCTACCTGTAGCCATGTGAAGCAGAATAGGAACCTGAGTGAGAATTACAGCCTTATACCCAAATCTTTCCCAGCTTTCCATGTTTTCTGAAACCAGCTTCATGAGATTTTTAGGCTTAGAGCAGCACAACGGGCACGAAGCTGTTTTGGGCACAACAAATGGCACATGAAACTCTGTTCTGGCTGAACCACTGCCTAAGGCTCTGAGGCATAACCTGTTTAGACAGGTTAGTTGGGTTTGGGGTTTTTTAACTGATGGGAGATAAAATTTTAGGGGCTCTGGACAGCTTGTATTTATTGTCAGCCTGTTTTGTAAGTGACACTGATTTTTATTACCTTTTTTTTTTCTTTCAGTTTATGAGCTAGAACGAGAGAAAATTATAGTGTATGTTTACCTGCTTGCTAGTGAAATCCCTGCGAAGCGCCGAGCTGTGCATAGTAAGTACTAGCTGCTTTCACTGAATTAAGGAGAGCTGCAGATGCTCCACGGGGCAGGGTTTTACCTTACCCCAGGGACTCCGTTAGGGGCTGCTGGCCCTCGTAAAGGTGGGTGGTTGTGCCAGGTTTTGTGCATACGTGCTGCTTTCTAGCTTGATCCTGATAAAACTATAAGCTTACTTTGCAGGTTAGTCCCTTCTTCACAGAACATACGTAGCCACTGACATTTCCGACTCCACTCCATAGGGTCAAGTTTTGTTTTGCCAGTGACGAGTATTTCTTCCTTTTAATTAGGCTTTTTCTGCAGGTACCAGAGGTAGCTGCTGTCAGTGACACATCACGAGCTGATGAAGAGCAAATCAGTCTGACACCTGCCTCAGTTTACTGCTGGGTCAAACAGCTCTTGAGAAAAGCATTAAGGCAGCTAGATTTGCTGACTACAGAAAGGTGGTGGGCTTTTGGGTTTTTTTTGCTTTTTTTTGTTTTGTTTTTTTTTTGCTAATTGTATTAATACAAATAGAAGTTTCTTTGAGGCCTGAGACACTCGACTAAATAGCAACTTTGCTACTTGCCACAATGCAAATCAAGGGATGACATCATGTGTAATAATTTATTTTTTGTTGTTGTTGTTAATTAGGTAATAAGGCATTAAAGCTTTGCCACTTACTAATTTGTTAGCTTAGAATGTGGTCAGTGCGAGTAATGAGGCTGTTTTGGAGTCAGTCTTTTTGATAAGACCCTTTTTGTGAGATTAAGCTGTTTTCATGCATGAGCGTTTTATCAACAACCCTGCGGGTCACTGTGCTCTAGTGCCATTGCTAATATAAGCACAGTGTACATGGAAATGATTTTGTATCTAACAAATAGAATAATGCATCTTAAACATGTCCTGATACATTGTTTTAATTCAAACTTTAAGAAAGGCCAACAATTTATAGGAGACTTGCTTGGAAGTTACTCTTGATTTTTTTTCAGTGTCTTGCATTTGTAGTCATTTGTTCTGTCAAGCTAAGAAAGCCATGAGCATAAAACATGGAGAAGTCTATTATCAGTGTTTTCTAGTTGCAGGGGTACTTCTTTAATTGCAATAAAAAAATAATATTAACATTGCCTCTTGATTTCTGCCTGAGCAGACCTGCAGCTTTCTGTAACCCCTTCGCTGTTGGATCAGAAATGAACCTGGTAAAAGTCAAGTGGTTAATTGAAGCTCATCTAATCTTAATATAATTTGACAGTCAATAAAAATGTGGATAGACTTTATTAGTATAGCACTAATAGTTCTGCAATTAATTAGTATAGCACTAATAATTTTGCCATTAACAGGAAGAAAATGATCTTGGAGTTACAGGGCACTAATTCTTTTTCAAGCTTTTTTCTGTTTCTGTTCTGGGACTTGAGCTCAGATACTGGGTCTGATATTAGGTTATTTGTATTTTGTGTGCCTGTGTGTATTTACTGAGACAGGATTTATAGGAAACATAAGGTAATATGAATTTAGAAAAAAAAATCCTTATTTTAGGAACTTGGTCTAAGCTAAACTTTTGGGCAATACATAAGAAGTCCCAATTATACAAGTTTTATCACTGAGAAAATTCTTGGCCTCTTGGAGGTGGTCCCATATCTTGCCTAGCTTTATAGGCAAAGTGGCACTCACTGTTAATTAGCTTCCTCCCTTAGTCAACATACTTCGTGTTAACGAACCTACAGAGAGTCATGAGCAATCTGGTCTCTTCTACCATTTGTGCTTCAGCTGGAATAACCACAATAGCAAAACATATAATTAATTATCCTGGTCATGTTTTGAACTAGAAGTATGACATTTTGGTTGTCCTTTGTATTCCGGATGTTTCTGTGAGGCTGGATCACCCTTCCCTTCCTTCTTTTGTACAGCACCCACCACCACAGCATCCTCACCCGTGATGTGGGGCCCAAGTTTGGACAAAACAAGAACATGGCAAGAGCTGACTTAGCTACAGGACTTTGAGTGAAATTACTGGGATTTCGATGATGATTTTTGGTAAAAGTTCTCCTTATCCATCCTGCAAATGTCTGTTGTGTGGACAGACATGGTGCAGATGATTCTCGTAACATGGCCTGCACATCTCTCTTGCTCGTGATCATCTCCAAATCAGGGGAAAAGAGAAGATTTTAAAGAGCTCGACTCTTGGGAACCGGCACGTTACCATCTCTTACCTGGAGAGCCCTCGTGCTCCCGGCCGCACTGCGCGGTCGTGCCCGTCAGCCGCAGCGGTGAATGCAGCGCGGGTAAGCAGCGCGGGTCTCACTGCGTTAATTTAGGTGAGGTACCAGCTTGTGGGCAACGGCTTTAAACGCTCAATCGCTCGGGCCTTTCCACCTCTTCTGAGTATTTTTAGATCATTACAGAAATGTCGAGCGATTGTCAGAATTTCACAGAAGTTGGGCCACGATTTCAGATTCAAGGTTATTCGCTTCCCAGTACGTGGCAGGTACCCCTTTGTGCTGGCTGGCGGGCCTGGGGCACAGCAGAGTTTTCTGAGCGATTCAGCTTCGCGTTTTTCCCTTTGCTCCCTTTGCAGAGGCACCAACACTTGTGTCACTAGTTTTAACCGTGTGTCACTAATGCCAGTTTGTAAGAGTTGGGGAGGATGTCTGGAAAAAGAACTTTCTGCCCGCAGCAAACCAGGTGCATTTTCTCTTATAAGGCTAGTGTTTTACAGGGAAAAGATACTGTAAGTTTTAAACTTGTGTTTCAGTTCCTTTAAGCAGCTTCCTATAGCTTCCCATGGATCTACGGCTGCCTATCACAGGGACCCAGTAGCGCCAAGCCTGGCTGGAGCTGTCACCCTGCACGTGTTTTGTGTGTGTGTGAACTGAGGGTGTAGAGCTGTGTGTCAGACTGTGCCAGTCCGGCCCTGCACACACACGTGTGCGGCGGTGCCTGTGTGTGTTGCTGGGGGTGGCCCTGGCTGAATGTGGTGTGTCTGTCTGTGACCTTGTGTGAGAGATCCCGTGTGACCCTGTGTGTGAGAGATCCCGTGTGCCAATGACTGCTGTATGTGAGAGACCCTGCGTGACCCGTGTGCCTGTGACCCTGTGCGTGAGACCCCGCGTGACCCGGGTGTGCGACTGTGTGTGAGACCCCTCACCTGAGAGCGTGTGAGCACAGCTGTGCGCGGGAGCCGCTGCGTGGCCGTGTGTGACCTGGCGCACGGAGGCGCCCCGTGTGTCCGGCCGTGCGGGGTGTGTGTGTGTGTGCGGAGGCAGCGGCGCGCGCGGTGCGGTGCGTTTCGTTGCGTTTCGTCTCGTTGCGTTTCGTCTCGTTGC